GGGGTTCTCTAGTGTCACTGTTCCCTAGCGCCCAAGCAAGGGGGGTTTCCTGCCCTGGGGCCCCTCTCCCACAGGAGAGGGCTCTGACCTGTCCACGTGGTTGGTGGTCATGAAGACGATCCTGGCCTCCGTGGAGGCGACGCCATCCAGCGCGTTGAGGAGGCCGCTGAAGGTCAGCCGTCCCATGCCCTGGTAGGCAGTTGGGTCTGGAGGAAAAGGCAGCACCGACGTCTCAGATCCAGGGCAGGTCTGGGGCACCCAAACTCTGCCCAACAGACAGCCGCCTTGGCAGCTTACCAGCCGCTGGGGAGCCGCCCCATCTGCCATCAATCAACGCCGCGGGCCGAGACGGCTGGTCCCTGGCCAAGTAACCTGGCCACTCTGCATCCTGTGCTCCCCCGGCGCCGCCTCACTATAAACCCAGCTCCTGGCATGTTTCCAGGGATACTCTGCCCACAGCGCAGCCAGTGGCCGACTGCCCACCCCACCCCACCCCACGCACAGTGCAGGGGAGCCAGCGTGGGCACCCCAAGGGGCTGAAGAGCAAAGGGAAATATACAGCCAGGCAGGGCGTGCTGCCTGCTCCCTGGGAATCAGGGACTCCCCCGGCCCAGCAGGTGAGACAAAAGCCACCTCAGAACAGCTCCTCCAGCCCCCATCATTCTGCTCACTGCCGAGCCGGGCTGGGACCTCGGGGGGAGGAGAGGCGTCTCCACATGGCACCCAGGTGCTGAAGATAAGGGCGAGGCCTGCACCGATTTCCCCAGGGGTGGGAGCAGGCCCCCGGGAGGGGGAAGGGCCGGGACTAACTCTCCACAGCGAGGTCCCGGCTGACGAAGGCCGCGTCCACGTCCTCCAGGAGGATGATGCTCTGCTGCGGCGCTACGCTGAGGAGGTGGTTGAGGCGGTCATCGGAGAGGCTGCGGTCGCTCAGGCTCAGCAGGCAGATGCCGTACTCCAGCTCCCCGGCCAGGGCCGTGCTGGGAGGGACACAGGGCAGGAGTAAAGCACCAAGCCGCAGGGGAACCCCCAGGGGAAATCACTCCCTCCCCAGTCCCGCAGGGCAGGAGGCACCTATATCAAACCCGCCAGAGGGCAGGGATGGGCCAGGGGGTTGGGTGCTGGCCTGGGATTCGAGACCCAGGTTCCATTCCCAGCTGGGACACGGATATCCTGTGTGACCTCCAGCAAGTCACCATCTCTCTACACCCCAGCCTCCTACATGCAAGCCCTGCCCTGTGTCCCGGGGGGGTGGGAGGATAAAAGCAGTAAGGACTGCGTGGTACTCAGTGATGGGGCCCCTAAGTACCTCCGGCAGAAACACCTGGCGCCTGACTCTACCCCGCCTGGCCCCTCGTGCCGTCGCTCATCCGCTGGTCAAGGGGGTCCGATTTAGTGTTATCCCCAAAGCACCATTCATCTTATGGGAGTGGCCTGCTTAACCTGTGTATTAGCGCATGGGGGGCTGGGAGGGTTTTGGCGTGTGGAAATAAAGCAATTAGTATTTCAGGGGGCGGGTGAGGGGCAAGGGGGGGCCCCAACAATATTCCTGCTTCGGGCCACCAGCAGGCTAGCAGCACCTCCGGACACAGTCCTTTTGGCTTCCTTCTCTGCAGCACATTTCTGCCTTGCTAACCGAACCCTCCTCCTCAGTGAAGAGCCAGTCTCCTTAGTCCTCCCTCCATGGGGCCGAAGGGGACCTAGAACTCCAGGAGACGGGGGAAAGCTGGCACTGCCCAGCGCACAATACTCACATGAAGCTGCTTTTCCCACAGCCCGGGGGCCCGTAAAGCAAATAGCCCCTCCTGTACGGGATTCCTAGGAAGAGAGGGACCCATCAGAAGCCGGCAGCGTGCCCCACACCCAGCCTGCCACAGAGCCCTAAAGGACAGAACCTAACTAACGATCACACCCCCGAGTCCCAGCGTCACTGAAAGCCCAGTGAGCTGGGCTCTTGCTGGCGTCACTCTTAACACGTCATTCGTGGCCAGCCTGCTTTCCCACGGCAGCGCTGCCGTCGGCTCTGGTTCGGCCGGGGACTGGAGCTGAACCAAGCTGGACCGGCAGCGGGGAAGCTACAGGGTGGAGGGGTAACCTGCTTGCTTCCTACAGAGCCAGGGACAGGCAGAAGAGGCAGACACCAGGCACAGAACACAGCCTTCCATGCAGCAAGAGCCCCCTAGGGCTCTGAAGTCCCCCCGCAGGGCTGCCTAATGCGCTGGGCCTGGATCACCAAGGCAACGCTCCAGTTGGTGAATCGGGCCCGCTGATCGCAGGAAGGAGGCACCGCCGACCCAGTGCAGAAACTCCCCCGTTTCCGGTTGTGGACGCTGCAGCAGGACGCCGGTGCCCCACGGGCAGCTGCAAGGATTGTACAGGACACCTTTTTCGTGCACAGAAACCCAGGGTTCAGGGGTGGAATAATGGTGCGCACCTGCGGGGCTAGGCTGGCCTGGACTAGCTAAGGGGCTGCAGGTCTGGATCCAGGTGCGCTGGGAGAGGTGTGGCAGGCTGGTGAGGAGGCAGAGGTAGCCGCACAGCACCTGCCCGCATCATCCTGGCTCGAGGTAGCGTTATTTGCCCCTCCCTTTGACCCCAGAGGAAGGGCAGAGCCATCAGCCTGGGAGGGAGCCTTGCCTCTCTCACTGTACCACTTGGGGTTATCGATGAACTCCTTTACGTCCTGCACGATCTTCTCCGAGATCCCCTTCTCCAGCACCACGGAGGCGAGCGGCCGACGGCGGCGCGGGAAGCCAAACGGCCGCCATTCGGCACCCATGGCCGTGTACATGACTGTCTTCCCCTCCTGCTGCCTCAGAGCCAGTTCCCTGGCTAGAGAGAGACAGAGAGAGGGGCTGGCAGTGAAAGGGAATCTCCCAGAAGGCACCAGGCAATGGCCTGGCTTTTATATCTGCCAGGTTTCAAATCTGCCGCGGCAGGGCCCTGCCGAACAGCCATACCTTCCTGGAGGATGCTGAAGAAGATCTCCCGCTTGGTGCCCAGGGCTGTGAACGTCACTGACTCCCAGGGGGTCCCCGTGTGCAGGTCGATCATTTGCTTCTCTCGGTTCCGCTCGATGCGGATCCACTTCCTCCGATACCTGGGAGCAGGAGGAGAGAGAGAGGCTGAGCCAGGGGACGACGCGAGATGAGGCTTAGGAACATCTTCACTTAAGCACGACAGCGGCACTGCTGCGCCGACGCAGCGTTTTCAGTGTCCACCTGCGCTAACTCTTTTGCACTTTTACAATCCCACCCTGCCGCGTGAGTTCCACAGGTCGGTTCTGCACCCCGAACAGAAACAGATCCGTTTCCGTTTCGGATGTGCGGCGTTTGAACGTCACCAAGTCGCATCTGAGGGGCATTCTCGACCCCAGGCTCTGGGCCGAACGAAGCCAGTGCCAGAGGTCCTAGAGACGAGCTTAGCATGCTATTTTACAGCAGCTGCATCTCCCGTACTCGTCTCCTTTCCAGACTAAGCAGCCCTGTGCGCTGATCCAAATCAATGGGACCCTTTCACTGACTTCAACGGGCTTCGCATCAGGCCCCTAGGCTCTTCAAGAATTTCTCTTCACACGAAGCCCTCGGTTCCGGGAGGCAGCTGGTCAGTTCCCGGCCCGTTCCTCCCCCGCTCTGCCCCCTTACCAGATGAAGTGGTTCCCAGGGCTGGGGATAAAGTCGAACTTGGTGCTGATGCGCCCGCTCTCATGTTGCAGGTACGAGGTCTCCACGCTCAGGTGCTGAGTGTGCTTGGCATAGTGCGAGATCCAACTCAGCAGCCACTGGTAGCTCTTGTCCTTGCTGGGCACCTCCAAGGTGATCATGTAGTGTCGGCGAAAAGCAACCGCCCCAAACTGGGCCCCCTTCCGGGCCAAAGCCAGAGCCGTGCCCACCCCTACCAGGCCAAAGCCAGCCCCGAAGTAGGGATTGTCCTTCAGCGCTAAGACAAAGTCGGAAAAGGGCATGGTGGGGCCAGGGGAGTCACGCGGCTCCTTTCAATGGCATCGTCTCTGCCAGCCAGAAACAAACCTGCTGATAAAACAAAAAGGGAAAGACTGAGCCATGGGCTGCCGATGCCAAAGCTCAGCACAAGGGGGCGACATAGATATAAGGCCGAGGTGTCAATCATACGACCCACAGGCGGATCTGGCCCAGATTACGTCTTTACGAGGCCCCGTCCACGTGGCACGTTCAGATTCGTCACCATCTTTCTTTAAAACGCAAAGCTAGTTTGTAGCCCTTACGGATGCGGAGAAAACCCTTCCAAACCTGAACCACGGGTAACGGGTACAGCAACATCTGCCTGTAGCAACAGACCCTCGACATGGGGGAGACGTTACAGTCCCGAATGTACGCCTCAGCCCACCAAGCACAATTAGACCCAGAATTCATCCCTCTTCCCCTAGTGACTCTCACCCTGACAGAGAGGATCCCGGCTCGCTTTGGGCACAACTCTCCAACTGAAGCAGCACTGGTGCCCATATGGGAGCCCAAGCACCACTGTCATCAGGCCGGCTGCCTCCTGAGTGCCCCCTCAGGGCCTAAGGTCACGCTGCAGCAGCCCCGCCTCAGTTTCCCCACTTGTTAGGGCTTTCTCCATTACATTACCAAAGCAAACTTTCTGCAAGTTCAGCAACTCCCCTCCCAGGGCTGGATTTCTTAATGTAACAAAATAGTTGAAATGAGTTCTCCGCCCCCGATCAAGTCCATGTTCCTAGTCCTGCTGGAGGCCTCCCCGCTCTGAGCCTTTTCTCTGAAACCTCAGGGTTCCCTGCTGGACCCTACTCACCTTCAGCACTCTCCAGTCCCTCTTTCCCAGAGCATTCCCCTCCCTAGCTTCCTGCTGCCCTTTACAGGGGAACCAGCTGCTCCCTGCCCAGGTACGCCTGCTTAGTAACTAGTGCTGGGCCCTTAAAGAGCATCACCACCCTTGAGATGCAGACCCAGAGCAGATTGCAGCCTTCACCATGGAGCAGCGGCCAGCAGGGAACGCAGCATCTTGACTCCTGGCCATAGTCCTCAACGGGTCAGGGGCCCCATAACTTTCTGTGCTGCAGGAAGAGAAGCAGCCCCTAGGGTGCTACAGTCATCTGGGAGGATGCCGCCAGGACAAGGCTCTCGGGAGCGGGGACAAGGAGTTCTTGGGGAAGGGTGGAGAGTGGTGGAACACCACGATAGGCCACAGGAGGAGTCTGGGGGTACAAGAGTGTAAAACCAATCTCGGCTGTCTCAGGTGAAAAGTCAAACCTGAGGCTTTATCATTAAAAGCCTCCGGGCTGTAAGCTGTGGGAAAAGCCTGTTGCAATTACTGAGGATTTATTGCTGCAACTAGTCACCATGCACCTCCAGTTGCATCCTGAAGGCATGTCCCGGGCAGCTGGGGGCCTGGAGGCGACGGAGACAGAAGCAGCCTCCCCCGTCTGTGATGGCAGTGGAAGGTCCAAAGCCACAGAGCCGTCCTGGATCAAGCTGTGGAAATGGTTCCCTTGTAAGACAGCGTGGGGTAGTGGACGGAGGACTGGAGGGGGTTCTATTCTTGGCTTGATTTTGGGCAAGTCCCTTCCCTTCCATCTCCCCGTCTGTAAAACACGGGTGATGACACTGGCCTTGTCTGCAAGGCGCTGTGAGATCCACCGATGCAACGGCTCTCTAAAAGCTAGGGATCGTTAGTAACAGGGGCATCGACAGGATGCAGAATTTGGGTGGCAGTTGGGTTTAATCCTAAAGTCCTGTCCCAACCTCTACCTCCCTGATGTTCTCTTGCCCTGTTATTGAGGGAGCCCGTCGAGTAGTTTGCCTCACATGTTGTAGAAAAAGTGCCGTATAAATAAGTTAATTGTATCGCAGGGACCTGCTCTCTCCTTGGGCTGCACCTTCCCATCAATGAGGATATCCAGCACTTTTCAGATTGATGCCATTTACATGCATCAGGGACTTAAGCCTCACGCGGCCCTGGGACGGGGGGAAGCATGACCGCCCCCTTTGCAGAGCTGGGGAAGCTGCAGCTCAGAGGGGAGCAGGAGGCTGTGGCAGAGTCAGGAACAGAATCCAGAAGTCGTGGGTCTCCACCTGCTCAACAGGCTGACTCCCTGCCCAGCCAGAGAGAGAACCCAGGAGTCCTGACCCCAGCCTGTAACCAGCCAACACATTGCCGCAGCTCTCAGCGGGTAGGGAGATGGTTGGCTTGGTGCGCCAGCTGCAACAGGCAGCGTTACAAGGGCCATGCTGAGGGAGCCTGACCCTGCTGGAGAGGGGCCCCGATCCCGCCACACCTCCTCCTTTCATGGGGTCTGCCCCTCCCGTAAAGGAGCCGGAACCCCCCTCCTGAGTTCCCCTTTCATGGAGTCTGACCCCTCCCCACTGTAATAGGATCTGATTCCCCTGACCCCCCCCGCCCCCACTGTAAGGCAGCCTGAATCCCCCAGACCAGTTCTCCCAGCCCATGGGGTCTGATCCCCACTCACCCTATAAGGGGTGTGACCTCATGGGGGCGGCCCCCAGCAGCTCCCCCTCTCCCCTAGCAGCCCCTATTCCCTTCCACCCCCATGGGGCCAGCCCCCAGCAGCCCCCC